CTTTTCAAAATTTTCTTTTGAAATATTCGTACCCCTTCTATTTATTTATTGCATCGTATCTACGGAAGCAGCAGGACAATAATACATGTACTATGGCTCCGAATTTGAATCGAGAATCGCATACAACAGGTTATTTGGTTTAGAGTCGTGCACGCCGTGTTATAGTTATCATATAAAGGAACTGAAACATATTGCTAAAATATGCATGAAAAATACACGAAACCGTATGGAATTTTTTCATAAAACGTACGCTGAATAGCAGACTTGGGGAACTAAAACCAGGGACGGATTTAGACCGTCTTCTGGGTCTTCCGGAAGACGGTCAGATTTTCAAGTTTACATTGACAGGTATCTGATCTTTTCTGTTGGAAGACCGTCAGAAATGGGGGATGGATCATCAAAGATAATTTGGAATGGTCTCAGAAAATATCTCTGGACCTGCTTCTGTAAAACTGCCTGTCCATCTGGTTATGACCACTTAAAATGGCAGACGACTTACAAGATTTTTAATATCGCAGGGCCTTAAGACTGATAAGGTTTATGTGAAAATACAAAACATAATAACAAACAATATGTTAACAAGATGGGGAAAACCTGCTTATTTCTTGTCGAGCGGGTCCCCCCGACCTTCAGTTACTCCAAAGTTTTCCCCATGTCTGATAATAGAAGTAATTAGCTTCAAGAGGTAGGGGTATACACTGCAGGTAATAACATTTAAGTAAGGGAAACGAGCTTTTTTTGCTCGATGTATAACACTCACCTTGACTCGTGGTTCATCCTTAAGTTTGTAACATTTCATTTCCCAGTCATATCTTTCTCGTATTTAACACCTTGGCAACATTTCACATTAAAATGACAGTTTTGATAGGTGCAAAGCGAGTGAATCCTGTCAAAGCTGACACTTCTCATCTTTATCAATTTACATTACATGAGCAACATGAAGCGAAGGTGATTGTCAGAAGCAACTCTATTAATTTGCTGTTACATGTACCACTCTGCACATTAATAAGCCAAATTTTTTTCTCTGACGACAGGGGCCTTAATTTCATTTTTTTGTTAAAAATTTTTGTAGATGGATGATACCCGTAGGATGAACTGATTTGATTATCATATATATTGTTTATTGTTAATAAAAAAAAAAATGAAAAAATAACACAGGGAAACCCTTTGGGGGTTTTTACAGAATTTTGTATGCTTAGGCCCTACCTTTGGATGTAATTTCATCAAATTGCGTGAACTTATAATAGGTGGCGACCTCTAACAACCTGCCAGATGTTATCCAGCTCAGGCATTGATTGGTACTGATTTATTTATTTATTTATTTTTTTTTGGGGGGGAGGGGGGCGAGATTCACCAATCAGCTTCAAGAATCACACGTTTACATGTACATATACCGTACCACTCAAGATATATTTTGTTGGGAAATTTAATTGTGACTTATTTAATTGCGAATAATTGCCACTTGAGTTGACAGAAAAATGGCGGCTGTTTAAGGTCAGTTAATCATTACTTGTAACTTTCCATTCACTTATGCTGGAAACTCCCCCAAAAGTTATGGGCTATGGATTTACAATAAAAAAAGATAATATTACTCTTTGCAGGATATGTACACATATAAAAATGTGACGTTAGGACATTTTCAAAAAGGTCGGGGGGGGGGGGGGGGAGCTACAGTTCATGATGTATTCATTTTATGTAATGGACTTGAGCTGGACATAAGGGGCACAGAAGTACACTGGAGGTTTAGTATAATACTGTACATGGACACGTGTGTTAACCTGAGCAAAAAGTCATCTGTTATAATTTACTTGGAAGAAAACTATGCTTTAGCTAGTGAAAATTCTTATTTCAATAGGGAAGTATTTTTTCAGAAACCGAAGGGGATGGGGGGTGGGGGGGTCCGGACCTCCTTTACTCCCCTTCTT